CGTGCATTAATATTCATGGAAGTCAGTTTGAACATGTGTTAGGGCAAATGAAATAACCCTTTGCGATGTGTTAAAATAAGATGATCCTATGTGTGCCCGATTTTTAGGGCCTCCCCTGTATGTTTCCATGGCAGGGACCAGGTTATCACTACGCCAATACTGGTTCTCATAAAAAAATTGGTTCTCATTAACAATGAATCAGTTTGCGTGCCACTCGTAATCAGTCTTTGGGCAGTGTTCTTCACCAACTTTCAGAGGGTGGCCACTTCCGCCGATAAGACATCATCTGTGTGAGGGCCCACACACATTTGAAACCATTGGGGTTTGACAGCACCACGATGATTCGGGGGGGGTGGGGGAGTTTTCACATTTGTGTATTGTACGGGGGCCACAAGTCACGAGCCGCACGAGTGGCCACCAGTGGCCGCCAGTGGCCCGCGGGGCCTTGGAATGAATAACTCCGATCTAGAGCCATGCATTGTATTGCACAGCAGTCTGCTTCGTAGATTTCGTGCTTGTCACATACCTCCAACATTCAGTAAACATTGAATGTTGGAACAACGTTGGTCCGACGGTTCCATCCACAGGCCAATGTTGGACCGACATTGCAAGATGAATGGAAAGGTAATGATGATGTATTTGTCCCAGTTATAAACTGTATCAAGAGAGCTGTGCAATGTATCCGTTCAAATATGATATTTGTTTGGGCAGAATTAAGAGTTCTCTGCAGTAGTTGGGAATCAGAATGTGTATTTATCCTGGAGGAATCTGATGAGTTATGAAGCTCTTTTTCACAGATGCCCAATAGCAGCTGAGGGGGGGGGGGGGTCAGCAAGTTACGTCAACAACAGCAAAACAAAACAAAAGACGATCAATATAAATACATTACGGAAGTATAAATTGCACAAGTACATAAATCCCTGCTGATTTTTCAACACCAAATGCAAAATTGGGGCAAGGCAGCAAAACAACAACAACAAAAGTCCCACACCAAATCAACGCACGATCCTTCATTTGCGTTGCACATTCAAATTGAACGATCGATACGCGGGTCAGGTTAAAAAAGTTACAAATCGCACTTGCAAATGTGGCTGCCTGTATCTGGCACTAATCATCTGCTTAAGGATATTTATTTTTTGAAGGAAGATTTACGATGTTAAGGGAGGAAGCGGGGCTGTTCCAAAACGTTGGTGCTGCCAACGGCAAAGGCTTCGTCACATATTCCAATTAGGTATTCTGGAGATAGTTTTTTTTTTAAAGGCAGTTGTGTAAGTTTAGACTGTACTTGTTTTGTAAGCTAGACATAAACGCTTTCTGTATTGCGTAATATTCTATTTATAAATAATACATTTTAGATGAAGCCTCCAGTCGGTCACTGCCGTGGGAGGTCGCTCATTCTCCTCTGCTGCCTCGTTGTCGACAAACTAAACAGTTTTATATGTATAAAACATATTTTACCAGGTCAGGCCGACTGAGCTATATAGCTCTTTCTCAGAAGCGACCTGCCCACAAATGATAGCCCAATGAAGTGGCTTATTGTGTGGACATTTACAGCAACGGCCATATACTCTTAAAGGCGTGATGTTGATTTTATATTTGGAGGGAACAACCGGAGGACCCGGAGAAAAATCCACGCGACCATGGGGAGAGAGACACGCAAACTCTAAATATGCAGGCGTCAGGTTTTGGATTGAATCTACGACCTGTATACTAAGCGAGGTAGTTAACATCTTGCCACCGCGACGCCATGAACTTTGAACTCCCTCCCGAGCCATCTTGTGCTCTTGACTCCCTGCCCGTGTTCAAGTCCAAGCCCATTCTTTCCTCTGCCTGTGACTGCCTCTCTCTAAATATATGAAGTAAATATGCCCGCTATTTCACTACAATATGTAGACCGACGTGGAATTGTAATTCGGGGTTAAAAGATATATTTTATTGAGGGATACGGTGGGATTTGTCTGTGCAAGGTTTATTGCAAACATGTTTTTAACTGCCTCTTTTAAGTCATCGAGGAACGAGGCTCATGGACTAACTCCCATTGGAATGATGGGTACGAGAACAAAAATTACTCGCACTTGCTGTGCAGGTAAACTTCCACGAGGGATGATTCAAATAAAATACTGGTTTCCCTCGCTTTGTGCGGTGGTAGTAGTAGATGCTTTCCAAAAATAAGGGCGCACACAAAGCGAAAGAGCACGAGACAGTTGGCTGCCGTGTAGTACACACAGCACACACACACACAGTACACACACAACGGTCCCGCGTCCAACCGCATAGCCGCATACGAGTGAATTCAAACTGCATTTAGTGGATTTTGGGTATAAATTGGTTCGCCGCATATCGCGAAAAGCTCGACGAATCCAATACAGAGCAAAAGAACCCTGTATATCTTGTACCGACTCGACATCCGTTGCGACAGTTGGCGCACTCTCGCGTGCTGTCCACAAATGCGTTATCAAGATGGCATTTGCAGCCATTGGCACGGCGTGGTGTGTGCGGTTATATAACGCGCCATCGTTGAAATGCGCGCAGGCGATCCGTGTATTCCTGCATTACACCCAGCGTCAGGACCAAGGGGAGGATTAAGCTTCCGCCTCTCTGGAACCCGCAAATAATTGTTATGCAACACGCATTTAATTATAAGAAGCTCCTGAGAGTTAGACGCACTCCAAACTCGTGCCCAACGCCAATAAAGTCATAGCAATCCGGACACACACACACACACACTAACAACGTCCACTTAGTGGCGGTGACATCACCATAGCGCTTGTGCCAAGCTCGGTGCACTTTTAGGCCACGCGAAGTAAGGAAGGCTTGCCGGCAGGAGGTCAAGGAACAGACCCAGGTGGTAGGGGTTGACTAACTCGAGATGACTGGCGGATGCACCACCTTCTGCTCACCGGCGTGCCAACCCGCCGCGGTTTAGCCGCCCGACTCTGTGCGGCATTGTGAGCGCGCCCCGCACAAACCCCCGGTGGCTTCGGCTAACCCGAGCTTCACCCAGAGGGCCTGGTCCTGCGATGGGCTCTGAGAGTAAACGAATTAGCAAACAAATTAGTCGCTAAGCTATTGCCAATTATATAATGGATTCCATAATAGCATTAGCCTCTGGTGCCTGTGGCAGACGTTTCTCACCTGTGCCTCGCCCGCCTTTCGGTAAATGTGACAGAACTCGCCTTTCCGCGCGCGTGCATCCACGCACGTTCCACGTGTGCTTTCACGCGTGCGTGCACGCGCATCTGTGCACGGTGGGGAGCGGTGGTGCAGTCTGTTTTGTGGATTTGTATGAAGAACGTCAGCGGCAAGTGAACCCCTTCTGGGCCACTCCTATATCAGCTCAGCCTTAAATGAGCATCTAAATGCGGAGTGCAAACGTCAGTGCTGCTGATCGCTATGCATATTTACATCGCGTGATTCGCAGGATGTAAAAAAAATTTTGGGGCAAATTTTGGATGCGTGTCACCGGCACACGACGGCGGGCTGCCCTTGCGAATGACATCGCGGGACGTTTAACTCGCACCGCGAAGCGCTCTGGGCTCGTACACCCGCGGTATTAACCGGGGCGGCCGCTTTGTATCGAACCGCAAAGCTATGCATCAAAAAGCGCCAAAACGCCGTCACCGCGGGGCCATCCCGCCGCTGCCCCGGACGACGAACGCACCACTTTCATTTGAATACTTGTATTTGTCCAGATCACCTGATGAATGACAAAATAAACAGGGCGACGAACCTCTGAGCCAGACTTGACTTGCACAAAAATGCCGCCGATCCGGTAGCAGCGATGCAATGACGAACGCGGCGCGCGCACGCAAATATACAAATACAGTGGACCTGCGTGTCGGAGGTGGCTGGTTGGCATGGGGTTCACAATGGCCGTGTCATAATGACGATGACGACGATGATGATGATGATGACCGAACTTGGTGCCTGCTGATGACGACAATGATGATGTTGGTCATCATCGCAGAGAAGTGCCGATCCAATAGAACCTTCGTTTTAAGATGATGACGACGATCATGACTACAAACTTACATGTGTTTGATGCTTTTTAAAGTTACTTTTACCTACAATACTGAATGATAATAATTCGAGATGATGATGATGTTGATGATACTGTGGACTACTTACTAGATGGAGACGATTGATGACAATTGTACTGACATTACAGTACTCGACCATTACAATGATGGTGTTGATGATTGGCACAGATACATAAAGATACAGTTCCCCTGTATAACATTCCCAGAAGATGAATCCCTGCAGTCACGAAAGCTTTAAATCGAAAAATTCTCAGGCTGTTCGAGCAACTACTGCTGGCACCACGCCCGGCCACCTCTTTTCTCTCCAGTGCTGATATTTGGCGCTCGGCATCGGCTCCTTCAGTCCTGGGGTGGGGGGAAGGGTTAGGACGCATTCACAAAATGACCACCGATAATCATGTTAGCCATGGCCAGGAATCGAACTGACCGCTACACCACCCACTCGCTGTCTTCATTCCCACGCAGACAAACATAGACAAAGGTCACCCGTGTAGCCTTAATAGACTGTTGGGGGAAAGCGCTGTTGGCGAGTAGCAGCTACGAAGGCCGGCACGGTGTGCGAGGGGGTGGGGTGGGCAGCACCACGCCAGTGGCGATGTTTACACACACTGCGCCAGGTACCCATTTGAGGCTCAATCGACCTAGGCGAGGCCCAGGAATGGCTACAGATGAATCGTCACTGGCGTTGACCGTGAGCAGGAATCGAACCCGGGTCGCCGGGTTCGTAGCGAGGCGTGCGAACCGTTGCACTGCCGCAGACGTACGCACAAAAAGACAACGATCCCCCCTTGGCGGACTGTTAGGGCCAAGTGCTGTTCGCGAGCAGCACCTCTGCAGGCCGGCACGGCACGTGCGGGGGGGCTGGGTGGCCAGCAGCACGCCCTCACACACAAACCTCTCCTCGTCCTCCTCCTCCCCCCCCCCCTTGTTGCCGTCTCGCTCGCTCGCTCGCTTGCGCAGCATGGGTGAGCAGCCCCCCATAGAGATGAGCTGCCTGGCCAAGAAGTTGGAGGCACTGCAGTCCGCCGACTCGGAGGCCGCCTGCCGCGTGGGGGAGGAGGCGGAGGAGGAGGGCGATGCCGGCGCCCGCTTCTGGGAGGCGCCCGACTTCTGCATGGCGTGCGCCCAGCGGCACGGCCCGTCCGAGGGCCACGCGTACGACTACCGGCAGGAGGTGGACGAGGACCTGACGTGCCGCGTGTGCCTGGAGCCGCTGCTGGGCCCGCTGGACACGCCGTGCGGCCACACCTACTGCCGCGAGTGCCTGCGCGGGATCGCGGCGCGCGTCCGGGCGTCCCGCGCCCACGGTGGGTCTTTGTGCGGGCGAGCGGCGGGCACGGGCGCTGCGGCTGGAACCAGAGCTACATTGTTGTTGTTGTTGTTGTTAAACCGGGTGAGCCCCCACTGGGCTAAGCAGCTCGTTTTCAGAAGCGACCTGGCCACCACAAATGATAGCTCAACGAAGTGAGCTTATCAGCAAGTGGAAATGTCTGGCAACAAAATACGCTAAAACGCGTGATGTCGATTCCAAATGCGGGAGGAAAACCTGGAGGGACCAGAGCAAAGTCCACACGACCACGGGGAGAACATGTAAACTCCAAATATACAGCAGGCATCGGGGTCGGGATCGAACCCACGGCCTCCTCCATACCAGGCGAGGTAGTCAACAGGCGCGAGGTAGGAGCGGGGAGCCGACAGCACGGAGGGCTGGTGGGACACAGGTTAAGACATTAGCCTGGCTGCAGCTCTGGGCAGTGCCCTCGAGGTTGTCGCGTTGCGTTCATGTGACTCAGCGCGGTTTAGTGGCTTGGTCTGTTTTTTTTATCGTCGTCGTCGTCTTCGTCGTCAATGATTTGCCAGCTATTGCCACCGGAGCCGCTCGTTAACCCGACATTTCCTAGCTCCCAAGTTCTCTGGCCCCGCGTGACCTCCCTCCCTCCCGCTGTCCGGCGCAGCAAGTCACCTTGCAGCCTCCGCTAAATCTCACTGCAACGCTCGGGCACTCCGCGTAAGTACATGCGAGTTTTTATTTTGGCATTTTAAGTACATAAAACTAAGCTGAAACACAAATTGAGCAATCATTGGAAGGAGGTGATTAACCAGGTCAAAGTCTTAACTTGCTGTGATGTTTCCATCCTTTCTACCGACGTTAACCGACTCTCTGAGTTTCATTTCTAGGTTGGATGTCTTTGTGTCGACAGGCTGGGTGTCCACTGCCCCAGCCTCTGTGGTTGGACCGACGCTAGCTCCACCCACCTACCTTGATGCACCCATCTCAGGCCTATTTCAGACCTCGTCTCAGCAGCTTTCTCTCTTTCTCTCTCTCTCACCTGAAGACGATTGCTCGTGTTGCGATCGAAACGTCGTGATCTATTATTTTCTATTTACGTGACTTGACCTAAAGACCCAAGGAGTATGAAACGCAGGTGTTATTATATTCTTTACCGAAAGAACCAAGAATATGAATCCCTGCAGTCACGAAAGCTTTGGATCAAAATTTTTACAAGTGTTATTACTTGACCAACTAAGGCCCCACTGAGTTGTGTAGCTTTTTTAAGCAGCGACCATCACAAAGAATCGTCAACCAATGCGGCAAATTTATAGCAGTAGCCACACGTTGATTCTAAATGTGGAGGGAAAAACCGGAGGACCCGGAGAAAAATTCACACGACCACGGAGAGAGAGAGAGTGAGAGAGAGAGAGACACCGCAAACTCCAAATATACAGCAGCAGGCGTTAGGGTTGGGATCGAACCCACGACCTCCTGCACACCAGGCGAGATAGTTAACATCTACTAGCCACCGTGATGACGATGAGAGAGAGAGACACGCAAACTCCAAATATACAGCAGCAGGCGTCAGGGTTGGGATCGAACCCACGACCTCCTGTATACCAGGCGAGGTAGTTAACATCTCCTAGCCACCTCGGCGCCCCCTTCTAAGTGTCGTGGCAAATAAATGGGGGCGTGAACTCGGCAACGTACAGCGAGAGCCCTCTTTGAACGTGGGAGGATGCGCTCCTGGGAAAGTGCCACGTTCAGCGAGGACTCACCGCATGTACATTACAGGGCATATGTAAATAAATAAAAACAATGCAAATTTGAATGGCGTTTGCACTACGTAATCGGCCTGCAGCCGTCCCGTGGCTAAGGGACAACGAGCTGAGATGAGCGTAGCGCGCCGCTCGCCCTACGTTATCCTTCCACGTGTTGCACCACATGCACAGCTCAAGAAAGTAGTCCGTGCGGTCCACCGCGTTACGACGTCAGCGTTATGACGTCAGTATCACCGTGCACGCTCCGCGTTGTTCGAAAAGTCTTTCCGAGTGGAAGAACCGCGTTATCGCAGCAACTCATTGTCGTGTGGTCACCGCATGCTTTCCACAAATCAACCACAATGCCTTGCTGATCCTGGCAAGGAGCATAAACCATCACGCAAATTCCGGCCATCCTCGCACAGCAGCGGATTTTGGCTCGCCATCAAACAAAGACGGTGGTCACCGCATCATCGCGCGGCGCTTTCAGACGCGCTTCTGCGGCCGTCTGGAACGCTCTCCCTTCAGATATTAGGAAGCCACTGGAGCTACGCACCTTTAAATCCAGATCTAAAACTAATTTCTTTATAACTGCCTTTTGTGTTTAGTTTGTTGTCCTTCCCCCGCGCCTCCCATTAGCACAGTTGGCTACGCACGGTGCGAAAGACGTTCAACTTATACACACACACACGTGTTTGATATACGGGGTCATTCAAAGTCAAGGAGCGCTTGGATAGACGGATGATGGAAGCTTAACTCACGATTGAGAAATGAGTGGAGGAATTGAATGCAGCTCGCGATAGCAACAAGGAAAATCCTCCGCTCCAGGGATGCAACCGTACATTGAGCCGACGCGAGGAGGGGGGGGGGGGAGCAGCCAGAGGTGACGCGCGAGTGAGGGAACCGGGCCCCTGACGGTGCGAGGAGAAAGCTGTGGCACGCAGATGGACCACGTGTGGCTGCCATCATAGACGGGGGGAACAGCTGTTGGAGCAAAATTTAGCGGAATATGCACTCGATGATGACGATTTTTCTTAGTTGCGTGATGATTTTTTTCCTTTGACGATGACGATAATGTCTTGCCTAATTCAAATGAATTTCATAAATGACGTTAACAGCTCCATGATGATCATGATGATGTCTTCTCGTTAGCTATTGGTGATTCCCTGTAGCTGTTGACAGCGATGCTCAAGACGTCAGACTTCACGCGAATCGCTAACATCAATGATGATGACGACTACATTTTCGTCGGCTACGAATTTGACGACGATGATAGTGTGTGTATGTACGTCGAACTGCTTTTGCGCCGTAAGTAGCCGAGCGCACTAACCGGAGGCGTGGATGACGATGGCGGCGGCGGCGGCGACGACGACGATGATGATCACGACGATGACAACCGCAATGACTCGTGTAACCCTCACCCAGGCGAGAACGGAGAGGGAAATCGGACCGATGATGACGACGACGACGACGACGATGAAGACCTGGAGGTCTGCTGCCCCTTGGACAGGGAGCCGTTCCGGCTCTTCGAATGCTCCTCCTCCAGCTTCCTCGTGAAACGCCTGCTGGACAAGCTGATGGTCGGCTGTCCCCTCTGTCCCGACGGCGAGATGCAGCGGAGCGAGCTGGAGGAACACCTCCGTAACAGGTGAGAGCGCTGTGTCTGTGTGTCAGTGTGTCTGTGTGTCAGTATGTGTGTCTGTGTGTCTGTGTGTCAGTGTGTCAGTGTGTGTCAGTGTGTGTCAGTGTGTGTCTGTGTGTGTCAGTGTGTCAGTGGGTCAGTGTTAGTGTGTCAGTGTGTCAGTGTGTCAGTGTTAGTGTGTCTGTGTGTCTGTGTGTGCGTGTGGTGCGGTGCTGGCCACCCACCCCTTTGTGTTCCGTGCCGGCCTTCCATAGGTGCTACTCGCCAAGAGCACTTGCCCCAATAGTCTGTTACAGGCTATTCGGGGGATCTTTGTCTTTGTGTGCACGCGTGTGAGTGTGTGCGCGCGGCACAGTGAGAGTAGCAGTGCTGTGTGGCTAGCGCGCCGCGCTACGAACCTGGCGACACGAGTTCGATTCCCACTCGCAGCCAACTCCAGTGACGATTATCTGAACCAACCGGTCCTGCGCCTCCCTTAGGTCGACTTGGTCTCAAATGAGTACATGGTGTGTGAACACCGCCACTGGGGGAGACAGAGGCATCTGGGCATGGTGCTGGCCACCCACCCCTTTGTGTGCCGGGCCGGCCTTCATTGATGCTCGTTAACAGCACTCGCCCCAACAGTCTGTTAACGGCCATTGGGGGGGGGGGATATTTGTCTTTATGTGGCACAGTGGGGAGCACAGGTGGTGCATCGGCCGGTCATCTGAGTAGGTCAACCCGTGGCACCTGGGTCTGTCCCGTGACCTCCTGCCAGCAGCGAGCCGTTTACACTTCACGTGGCGTCAAGGTTGCACACCTAGCCCGGCAGCGAGGAGCAAGCGAATTGTGGCTGTTGTTGTTGTTGTTGTGAATGCTGTCACGAGAGGTCACACGGTCGGAGCAATAGGCCCTTGTTGACTATGCCTGATGATTGATCAGTTGCTGTTATGGGTATGTGTGTGTGTGTGTGCTGATGTTTACACGTGGCATCAGGGACTCATGTGAGGCTGAGCTGACCTACGGAAAGGCCCGGGAATATTTCCGATGTCGCTCGCCGCTCACGTCGGCAGTGGCCGGGAATCTCAAGTCGTAACGCGGTGCTTCAACCACTGCGCAAACTCTGCACTCGCTCCAACGATTTGTTGAAAGCTGCGCAAGGGGAAGCTTAGTCTTTGCGTGGGTGGCAACTGGGCAGTGGCGGCGCATTGGGTCTCATGCTGCGCGATGAACCCCCGCGAGCCGAGTTTGATTCCCGCCGATGAATAACATCGGTGGTTTGTGATATGTAAACTGGTTGTCTTCCTTTCGGATGACTCGGCGATAAATGAGCAGCAGCTGTCATGTTTACGAATCAGCCGGTGGGGCGTGGTGCTGACCACACCACTCCCTGGTTCGTCGTACCGGCCTTTAGAGGTGCTCGCTAACAGTCCTTGCTCCGAGACGAGGGCTGAACGATTAATCGATTTCAAATAGAAATCGCAATTTGAAACAATGGGATTGGCAAATCGCAAAGGCTGCGATTGTTTGCGACCTGAAAAGTCCTATTACTTTCTTACTGGAATTGCTTTTTTTTGTATTATTATAACTCTATTTAGTTAACTTAACGATTGTTCGATGTTTGAGTCGCAGACGCACTCCTTGGAGGCAACACATTTATTAAAACCAACACACGGGGTAACTGCCCCTTAACACCAGGCTACTATGGACCCTGGCCTGGCTCCCGGTCCACGTGTTGATGACTCTGGTAGGACGTTGAACGTGGATTCTTCAGGATGAACAACAGCAGCCGGTCCCGCTCGGGGACCCGGCTTGTATCCTCTGTGGCAGGGCTGGCTCTGTGCCCTTAGCCACGACCACCTTCTAGGATCCTCTAGCCCAGGGGTCCCCTGTTAGGAACCAGGCCCCACAGCAGCAGCAGGAGGTGAGAGCGGTGAGTCCACGCGTGGCCCTCCCCCATTATTTTATTATTCACCACTTCCATCCGCGCCTCTTTCCCGCACTGCGCACTAGTCTCAGTCACAGTGTTGGTATAAAGCCCACAAGCTCTAACCCCTAGTAGTCACAATGAGTAAGCCCACAAGCTCTAACCCCTAGTAGTCACAATGAGTAAGCCCACAAGATAACCCCTAGTAGCCACAATGAGTAAGCCCACAAGCTCTAACCCCTAGCAGCCACAATGAGTAAGCCCACAAGCTCTAACCCCTAGTAGCCACAATGAGTAAGCCCACAAGCTCTAACCCCTAGTATCAACAATGAGTAAGCCCACAAGCTCTAACCCCTGGTAGCCACAAGGAGTAAGCCCACAAGCTCTAACCCCTAGTAGCCACAATGAGTAAGCCCACAAGCTTTAACCCCTAGTAGCCACAATGAGTAAGCCCACAAGCTCTAACCCCTAGTAGCCACAATGAGTAAGCCCACAAGCTCTAACCCTAGTAGCCACAATGAGTAAGCCCACAAGCTCTAACCCCTAGTAGCCACAATGAGTAAGCCCACAAGCTCTAACCCCTAGTATCAACAATGAGTAAGCACACAAGCTCTAACCCCTGGTAGCCACAATGAGTAAGCCCACAAGCTCTAACCCCTAGTAGCCACAATGAATAAGCCCACAAGCTCTAACCCCTGGTAGCCACAATGAGTAAGCCCACAAGCTCTAACCCCTGGTAGCCACAATGAGTAAGCCCACAAGCTCTAACCCCTAGTAGTAGCCACAATAAGTAAGCCCACAAGCTCTAACCCCTAGTAGCCACAATGAGTAAGCCCACAAGCTCTAACCCCTAGTAGCCACAATGAGTAAGCCCACAAGCTCTAACCCCTAGTAGCCACAATGAGTAAGCCCACAAGCTCTAACCCCTAGTAGCCACAATGAGTAAGCCCACAAGCTCTAACCCCTAGTAGTAGCCACAATGAGTAAAAACACAAACGTCGCTGGAGAGCTTCTTTGAAAAGGAGGGAAAGACCCAATGATGACCCCCCCCCACACCCCCGGTCCGTGAAAAAAATTGTCTTCCACGAAACCGGTCCCTGGTGCCAAAAAGGTTGGGGACCGCTGCTTTAGCAGGTTCTCGACCCTGACACGTGACCACCCCTAGCCCCCACCTAGGGCCCCTGTGTAGACTTTACCGGTCACGTGTTGTCCTTCGGGGTCAACCAGAGTGCCATGGCCCTTAGTAACCCCATTCCTATGGGGCGGCACTCTCACACCCTATCCTGTAGGGGTCGGCACTGCACGCAGAGCGTGGTGCCACTCAGCACTGTTGAACACCGCACGCCGTGACTCTAGGGCCGGTACTGCACCCACATGTGAGTGGTGCGCGTGATGTCACTACATCACATGCCGAGCCCCTCTAGGGCCGGTACTGCACCCACATGTGAGTGGTGCCCGTGATGTCACTACATCACATGCCGAGCCCCTCTAGGGCCGGTACTTCACCCACATGTGAGTGGTGCCCGTGATGTCACTACATCACATGCCGAGCCCCTCTAGGGCCGGTACTGCATCCACATGTGAGTGGTGCCCGTGATGTCACTACATCACATGCCGAGCCCCTCTAGGGCCGGTACTGCACCCACATGTGAGTGGTGCCCGCGATGTCACTACACCGCACGCCGTGACTCTCTAGAGCAAGTGTAGTGACATCCGCGATGTCACTACACTTGCATTAGAATATAGAGAGCAGTTCATATTTTGATGGTATCATGTGGTAATGCTCCATTACATGTTTCAAATCTATTACACAGTGAATATTAAACCGAAGCTTGATTTAAATAATTTAATCGCAATATCTATCAGAAAAATCGCAATTAGATATTTCCCCAAATCGTTCAGCCCTATCCACGACCTTGCGTAGGTTACGCAGGAGGTCTTTGTGTGTGTGTGTATGTGCGATAGTGTAGCGGTTAGCGCGCTGCGTTACGAACCCGGCGACCCGAGTTCAATTCCCGTTCACGGCCAACACCAGTGGCGATTATCTGAACCGGTCCCGAGCCTCACCTAGGCCGACTGAGCCTCAAATGAGTACCTGGTGCGGTGTAGTAAACATCTCCACTGGGGAGACAAAGACGGCCGGGCGTGGTGCTGGCCACCCACCTCCCTCGTGTGCCCCAGTGCCGGCCTTCATAGGTGCTCGCTAACAGCACTTGTCCCAACAGTCTGTTAAGGCTACACGGGGGGGGGGGGGGGGGTTATCGTTGTCGTCCTTGTTACACTCGCATACGGCTTCATCAGCGCGAGATTGCCAGCCCAGATGTATTGCGGTCGGATCGTACGTGATTTCATTCGCGAGCTTAACGCGCCGTAGTTTGGCGTTTGCGGTATTTCGCGGCGTGTTAACACGCCGCGGGCGGATGCACGCGGGCCCCCGTTGTTTCGGCTTTCACATCCCACCGGGAGACTCGGCGCGGAGCCGCTCTCTCGAATAATGGGTCCCCCGAGAGATGCGGCCACAACGTAAACGCCTCCTTGCGTTTTACCCCCATTAGGTATGTTGTAGCATTCACACTGCTGTGTCCGATTGCACGTGTGCATGTGTGCGCACGTGTGCATGTGTGGTAGTGTGGCCGGGCGTGGTTGTTGGCCACCCAGCCCTGTTGTGTGCCGTGCCGGCCTTCTTAGGTGCTGTTTTTCTTCGTGTGGTGGCGTGGCGGTTAGCACGCAGCGATCCGAGTTCGATTCCTGCTCATGGCCAACACCAGCGATGATTATGTGAACTGGTCCTGGGCCTCCTCTGAGTCGACTCAGCCTCAAATGGGTGCCTGGTGCGATGTCTAACACATCGCACCGGGCACAGGTGCTCACTAACAGCATTTTCCATAAGTCTGTTAAGGCTGTATGGGGGATGTGTGTCCGTATGTTGAACCTATTTCACACAGTACGTAGCCAACTTTGCTAATCGGAGGTACGGGATCTTTGCGCGTGCGGTCGTGGAGCGGTGAACGCGCCGCGCTATGAACCCACTGGCCACCCGGGTTCGATTCCCGCTCACGGCCAACGCCGGTGACGATTATTTGAACCGGTCCTGGGCCTC